TCCTTGGATACCTGATATCAATAAATTTGATAGACTTCAGTAAAACATGTATTTGATAAATTAGATTTAAAGTACATCTAAATCATGATTTGCTCTGTATACTGTTTGTTATAAACAATTGGCATTTTTTTTATATTAAATAATGTTCTCATTGTTTTTCATCTTCTTGCATATCAACAATGCTGGTCTCTTCCAGTCTGTTTCCACCACCTCCTGTTTTCTTGCATGCATTCCAGCATTGGTTGCACATCATCATTTAGGGCTTGTTTACTGATAGTGGCAATTGTGGACCATGCGTATGTATGTCTGTCAGCATAGCCACTTTCAGTCTTTATCAGGGATACATGTGACATGGTGACAACGTAGGAACACATTTTGGAGTCAATAATTATACTTCAATCAATGTTACATTTTTGTATACATTTTATGAACAAATCACATTATATTTAATGTAAATTGTTCCTCTGTGTATAAAGTTTCCAAAAGAAAATGTGCAATGTATATTTTAAAATACAGAAGACTATATATATATATGCATGAGTGCTGCTGGTGTCGGGGAGCTGCATTTCATTGATGGTATCATGAATTCACAGATGTACTGTTCTATATTGAAAGAGAAGATGCTACCATCACTCCATGCCCTTTCGTCGTGCACTTTTCCAACATGACCATGATCCAAAACACACATCTAAGGTCACTGTTGCATTTCTGAAGAAAAGGGTGAAAGTGATTAAGTGGCTAAGAATGGCTCAAGTATGTCTCCTGATCTGAACCCAATCAAACACCTATGAGGAATTCTGAAGAGACAAGTTGAGCATCACTCTCCATCCAGCATCCAGGCCCTAAAAGAGGTTGTTCTTGAAGAATGGAAAAAGATTGATGTTGCAATATGTCGCCAACCTGTTCATTCCATGCCTAGAAGACTTGGTGCTATCCTTACAAATCATGGAGGTCATACAAAATACAAGTTATATTGTTAAAAGTTATATTATTAACCTTACTTTCATGTAATGAGCTAAACAAATGTTCTATAAAACTTATTTTGTCAAAAGTTTGGAAATTGTTCTGTTCATTGAGAAATTGATTAAAATCATACTTTTCAAAAGGGGTGTACTCATTTATGCCGAGCACTGTGTATGTGTGTGTGTATGTATATATACTGTGTGTGTGTGTGTATATATATATATACACTGTGACAGTAGGCAGGTGAAATCACCTGGTTGCGTCCTGGATGGACGATACATTTGTCCAAGGTTTAGACTATATGGGGATTTGTTCCACTAGGGGGAAGTGCTGAGTCCTTCAGCACTGAGGTAATGAGCCCAGCTGAAGGTAGTGGGCTCATTAAAGCCTTGATAAAACTTCCCAGCTTGCTTAGGGAGTTGCTCCAACCTGGAACCAGATCTGTGCTTGAACTGATTGGGGAGCAACATACTATCTGTGTGCAGTGAGACAAAAGCCTGTGTGGCTAGCCTCCAATTACCAGCGACTAGGTATAGCATCAGGCTGTACCTAGTGGATAGCTAGGGAAGCCATTTGTACAGTAAGTAGCCAAGTTGGCCAGGCTTTTATTTGATGTTTCTTTTTGGTTTTACGGTTTTCTGTAAATATTGTAAATAAACCGCATCTTTTTGTTTTTCACCTCCACTGTTGTTGTGCTGTGCCTGTGTTTTTGTGTTGTGCACCCATCCAGGGGGTCACACACACCCGCTGCCGAGCGCACCCCGCTACAACACACACACACACACACACACTGTATATAGGGGCGTATTTACCATGAGGTGAGCAAAGCATTTGCATAGGGCAGCATTTTTCAGGGGGAGGCGTCACCCCCCGAAGAAGGGACGCACATTGCATGGGGACCAAATGGGAACCCAAGAGAGGCTGTGGGCTGAATGACGGTGTATGCAGAGCCTGACTCTCATTCCCAGGGATGCCTGGAGCTGTAAAGGTGAGTGTCTTTCTCTCTATCAGCGGGTATTAGTTGAAGGTTCTCTCGCCTGTGGGCGGGGGTGCTGTGGTGTTGATCAGTGTCAGGCTCTTTCAATGGTGGGGGTTGTGGGGGGCTGTGGTGTTGGTCAGTGTCAGGGTCTCTTGGAGGGGGTGTTCTAGGTGGAAGGCAACCGATTTTGGTGTTGCCTAGGGCATCACAAAACCAAAACACACCACTATGTGTGTGTGTGTGTATGTATATATGATACATTATATGATACAGTTACAGTCACATCTTTATCATCCCACAGAAGGGCATCACATTTTTGTTTGGTACAGATTTAAGTGGCTGAAGAGGTTGTAGCATAGGCCATCTTTCCGAAGCTTATCTTGCTCTACCCTAATCAACATTCAACATGAGAAGGAGAGCTTATCGGGTGTGTGGCTTGCCAAGGGGAAAGAAAACCACTTGGCAGCAGGGAGAGACAAGAGTTGCCTAACACCACTCTGCATTAGGTCAGCTGCTGTGTGCCCCAAAGGAGGGCGATGCTTCAAAGGAAGCTGCTAGAAGCATTGTAGCCTACCTCCATCTTCCTTCCAGAGCATCTATCAGAAGGCTGGTGGTATTCAGGTGGACATTCATCAAACATTAATTTATTTAACCTCCCTGGCGGTATTCCCGAGTGTAGCTCGGGGTAGAGTTTCAGTACCAAAAGCGGTAACCCCGAGCTACACTCGGGCTTACCATGCAGCGTTGCATAGGGAGTCCCTGCAGCGCTTACCTTGTCCTTCGCTCCCGCGATGCGTCCCCTGCAGTGTCCCCGGCCATCTCCTCCGGCCGATGCCGGCATCCGGCTTCCGTGTTCCGGTCCCTGTGACGTCGGGACGTATGGGCGCCGGAACCGGCGGCAAATTTGCCACTTTTAAAAAAATTTCATTTTTTTAAAAATGATTATTACATAGTAAAACATTGCTGTTTCAAAACATTTCACATACATTTTGTCCTACTGCTTTGTCCTGCCTGCATTTTGACTGTTCTTTCTGCCTGGAAACTTAGAAACGTCCATGGCATCCAAAAAGCGTCTCTTTATGTCAAAAGCGGGTTTTAGACCAGCTAGAGAACAGCGATAGCAAATCAGAACCACTTGCAGAATTGAGTGATAATGATTCGTGGGGAAATTCGGCATCAGAAAACTGAAAACGATTCTGCGACTGAACTCAGCGATGTGCGAACTTGGCGCTATATTTCACATTACAGTGTTTTTGGTTTGATTATATTATGTAATTAAAATTTATTATTATTATATTATTATTTTTTATGATTATTTATTAAATTATAATTAATGATTTTGTGTTTCAAGTTTTAGCATATCTGGAATGTTTACTAGACTCTTGTTCGGACAGATTTCAGTGAGCTATTCCTAAATTACAGGCCTACAATAAAAAAAAATACATATTTCCATGCAAAAAAATGGTACTGCTTTCAGCACCAAAAATCTGAAATAATCATACCACTAGGGAGGTTAAAGAGGATCCCCTCACTATCAGTTGTTCTGGGACACTTTACCCTTGTAGGTTACATATACCCCCACTGGAAGTTAAAGTTCTCCACAGCTAAGTTTAAAGGGCTCTGTGACAGATCTACCCACTAGTTAGTGGATAGCTAAGGTGTATTTGACCCCAACAGTTGTCTTATAATCCATCTGACTTCTTACCGAAAATATTTGTTATGTTAAGTGCTATTTGTTTCTGCTTGCAGTGATGTTTTTTTACTCACCTAATGCATTTGAGACAAAACAGGTGGCAAAGAGAACACATTCCTGCTCTGTTGTGTGCATTGTGTTAATATACTGCTGTTATTTATCAATTGTCTTTAATAGTATTGTTTGAATAAAGTCCATTATTTCTGTTGGTGTGTTGGTGGTTTGTTGGATCTAGCTCCTGCAGGGGGTAAATTTATATACACTGTACATATATAATGAAAATTGTAAGCAATGCATATTCTCCTGATTATACATGGTAAGTATCAGTGAATGTCAACTACTTTCCACCAGCTTTCAACCAGAAGAATAAATGAACAGATCGGCATAATCTTCCACCAAGTCTGCCATAAAATACAATATTAATTTGGATAGTAATGTAATGTTGGTGGTTGTTTGCTTGATCTTGAAGCTGGCTAAAAGTAGATGCCAGAAAATGCCTTACTGATAGAAAACAATTAACCTATTAATAATTACACAACTGAGATAATTCCATTTCAGTCATTTAATTATTGATAGGAGCATTGATTTCTAATGCTAAAAAGAACACTTTTTTGTTTTTGCCATCATGCACTTCTTTATGCACATATTATCTTACATGCTTTGCTTATCTTCCAAAAAACTGAGAAAACAAGCATGAAAGGAAAAGATACATTAACCACTTGAGCTCCGGAAGGTTTTACCACCTTCGAGACCAGAGCATTTTTTGCTATTTAGCACTGTGTACTTTAAATGGCAATTTCGTGGTCATGCAACACTGTACTTAAATGAAATTTTATATCTTTTTTTTTTCCACACAAATAGAGCTTTCTTTGAGTGGGATTTTATCATCACTGGGTTTTCGTTATTTTTTATTATATAAATGAAAAAAAGACTGAACATTTTGGAAAAAAAAACCTTTTCTACTTTCTGTTATAAAAACATCCAATTTAAAAAGAAAATCATAAAAATCAAAATTCTTCAATGATTTAGGCTAAAATGTATTCTGCTACATGTCTTTGGTAAAAAAAAAATCCCAATAAGTATATATTACCATATTTTTTGCTCCACAAGAAAGCAATAAGCTCTAGGTTTTAGAGGAGAAAAACAGGACGAAAAATATTCTGAACCAATGGAAATGACCAGAGACTGCGGACACAATACAGGAGATGACCAGAGACTGCGGACATAGTACAGGAGATGAACAGAGATCTGCGGACATAGTACAGGAGATGGCCAGAGACTGCGGACGACACAGTACAGAGAGATGACCAAGAGACTGCGGACACAGTACAGGAGATGACCAGAACAGACTGCGGACACAGTACAGGAGATGACCAGAGATTGCGGACACAGTACAGGAGATGACCAGAGAGTGCGAGACACAGTACAGGAGATGACCAGAGAGTGCAGCTACACAGTACAGGAGATGACCAGAGAGACTGCGGGACACAGTACAGGAGATGACCAGAGACTGTGGACACAGTACAGGAGATGACCAGAGATTGCAGACACAGTACAGGAGATGACCAGAGACTGTGACACAGTACAGGAGATGACCAGAGACTGCGGACCACAGTACAGGAGATGGCCAGAGACTGCGGACATAGTACAGGAGATGACCAAAGACTGCAGGACAGTACAGGAGATGACCAGAGACTGCGGACACAGTACAGGAGAATGACCAGAGAGACTGCAGACAGTACAGGAGATGACCAGAGACTGCAGACAGTACAGGAGATGACCAGAGGACTGCGGACGTTGGTACAGGGGATGACCAGAGACTGCGGACATAGTACAGGAGATGACTAGAGACTGTGGACACAGTACAGGAGATGACCAGAGAATGCGGACATAGTACAGATGACCAGAGACTGCGAACACAGTACAGGAGATGACCAGAGACTACGGACAGAGTACAGGAGATGACCAGAGACTGTGAATACAGTACAGGGGATGACCAGAGACTGCGGGGCACAGTACAGGGGATGACCAGAGACTGCGGGGGCACAGTACAGGAGATGAACCCAGAGACTGCGAACACAGTACAGGAGATGACCAGAGAATGCGGACAATAGTACAGATGACCAGAGACTTGCGAACACAGTACAGGGGATGACCAGAGACTGCGGGCACAGTACAGGAGATGACCAGAGACCTGCGGGCACAGTACAGGGAGATGACCAGAGACTGGGAACACAGTACAGGGGGATGACCAGAGACTGTGGACACATTACAGGAGATGACCAGAGACTGCGGACACAGTACAGATGACCAGAGACTGCAGACAGTACGGGGGATGACCAGAGACTGCAGACAGTACAGGGGGATGACCAAAGACTGCAGACAGTACAGGGGATGACCAAAGACTGCAGACAGTACAGGAGCTGACTAGAGACTGCAGACAGTACAGGGGATTATGACCATAGACTGCGGACCTTTGGGGAGGGAGGGGGAGTGGATACCTGAATTTGACAGGTACCCACTCCCACTTCCGCGGAGTTTGTCCTCCCTTTAGCTGTGCCGGGTGCCCACTGCGCATGCACGAGAAGCGCTGCGCTTTGTGAATGGCCCAGCGTCTTGTCATGTGTCTCAGAAGATTGCCTGACCATTCAGAAAGCACAGCGCTTCTTGCGCGTTATGCGCAGTGGGCACCCAGCTGAGAAATGCCGGCGCGGGAAGGCTGTACAGTGCTGGACCAAGGATTTCTAAAGTAGTACATGCACTACTTTTGGTGAGAGATTTATATAGACATCTATATCAGATGTCTTACAAATTGCACCTGCAATCAGCATATCACCCGACTTTGAAAACTGTAAGTCAGGGTACCTGCCACACTGACGTCACCCTATGCTACCACAGCCAATTATACTGGGCTGTCGGGCGGGCCATCTTTGAAATTTTTAAAAAATTCTATTGAGAGCTTTAATACATGCATGTATACCTGCTATTATCACTTTATTATAGTGTTATTACTATTGCTACTGAGGCTAGGATCATTAGAGTTTAATACTTTCAGCACTTTAATGTTGATCCATTTTTGAGATACATATGTCTTTAAAGGAAAATTAAACTAAATTAAACTAATTTACTACACTATATGTTCTGGTGGCTTTGTTTGAGCCTCACAAGGTGGATTTCATTTGGATGCTGTACTTACCTGATGCTGAGCGTTAGCTTTACCTGTGAGCGGTTCCTATTAACTAAGAGGGTCCAATAAAAGGTCTGGAGAGTATCCCTGGATGTTTTGAGTGTCGTTTGAATATCAGATCTTTACCGGGTTCCAGAAGGCCACCAGCACCCTTATACTACAAGCGCATTTACTGTATGATTTACGTCTGGTGAGTGTAAGGACACCCTATATTGCTTTTCATGGAAGTCACGAGCTCCTGATTATGTGATGGAAGTTGAATAGGATTGATCGATATCTTCCTATCTGAATCACTGACGCACTTGCAATCCATTAAATGGACTCATGTCATTTGCATTTATGTGATATATTGTGCTTAATACTATCACGTCAATATATAATTTTTGTCTTTTTTAAGATACTATCACTGTCACATATTTGCGCATCAACTTGCGCTCTCTGTCACACTTACATTTTATTGTATTTATTACATCTATGTAAGCGCTGCATTTTTTATAAATTCACTGTAAGTCAGGTTTGATGTCACCTGGGTAAGGTTATGGGTTTTTTTAAATAGTATGGAGATTTTTACTATTATAGTAAAGAAAATTTGCTCTGCCAGAGCAGTCTCCTAACAGCAGCCCTTGAGAATTTTTAGCTTCTGCTAAGATTCCTTGGCATTGGCCATGTGACTAGGCACTTGTCTGAAGGACAACTCATTACAGCAGTAGAAAATGTTTAGATGTTTTCATCACCATATCATGTCAGCTCAATATTTAGGTTCTTTCCATTATGGATCTCTTTATTTCTTTAAAGGACCACTACAGAGTTTCCATAAAGCCACAGAAATAGCAAACAGTTAGTTGTCACGAAGGCTGTCAAACACCTCCCACACCTTTGTTTAATATATAAAAAGAATTATTTTAGTTTCATTTTGGTCATAGGGGTAAATGTGTATTTGGATCTGTAAGGAAAAGTGTATCCAGCCCGATCTCTTAGATATGAATCCTTATCTTGAAAACTATCCATCAAAATGTAGGAATGCAGAACATTAGATAACAGTGTGCATATGCAGTTCAGATTCTGCACTCACTCATATGGCAAACTTATGATATTACTGGAGCTGCTTAAATTTGTTCAGATTCAGATTAAATCTAGATGGATGTGATTGTTACATGCTACTAGCAGTAGGATGTGTGGAATATAGCATGCCAGGTGGTGTATAGTAATGAGCCAAACATTCAGATTTGGGAGAAGTTTGCAAACGTAATGGAATTTTGGAGGCTGAATCTGAGCTTCACTGAAGCCAATGGGGGATGAATCAGAAATCCGTAATAGGGCTAACAGGCAAAGGTTTGTAGAATGGGGATGAGGAGCTGGGCACTGCTCTGTGGTCAATGCACCAAACCAAAATAGTATTTTTTAAAATCTCTGTTGGAGCAGCCATTTTATAATGCATAAAGAAAGATATTACAAATGCAAAATTCCTTCAAATAGCACGCATTTGGGATTTCCTGAACCTGCCTGTTAAGTGGTGAATCTGTACAATATATACATCTAGTGCAGCAAAACTGATATTTACAAAACATTTTAAAAATGCAATTGAAATTGCTGGCAAATGACAGCTCCTGACTATTTCATTCTGTTTGTAAACAAATGACAGGAGATTCCCTTCATCTTTACCAAACCCTTATCCTGGAAGAGGGTCTGGTATAGATATTAATGGATGACCCACACACAAAAAACAACAGCATGTGGTTTCCCATAAAAATACATGCCAGAGCTTTATCTTGAATACTATGCAAAAAACATGATAGAAAAAGCATGCTATCCCCCAAAAAAGATCTGAGCAAGCAGTCTGGCAGGTTGGGAAAGGGGAAACAAGAGTTTAGCCAATCCCTTCCAGAACCATACCAGGCCACATTCCCTAGCAAAGCTACCCATCCCATTTTGATGAGGACAGTGTGACTTTTTCCCCACAACCCTGGCCCGGTGTTTATTAGAGTCTGCAAGTAGGGGCTAATAGGAATCTGGAAGCCCCCTATAAAAATAAGTAGGGCCCCCAGATACCAACCACAACATGAATGAAAAAAAAACCCACCAACCAATGGTTAACTCTACATGAATGACAGTTCCCAGTCCCTACCCAATCAACTGATTTTTCAAAACTGGTATAATACAGTATAGAAGGGTTTAATAATCTAATAACATTATATTTGGAAACTGGGACACACTAGATCAAACCCAGATGTTTGTAGTCATGCTGACCAGAAATACGCACACAGTTAGATTTTTGAGGAAGAAAAACAAAAGTATTATTATTTGTTGGTTCCTGTATCGCGTCATCAATTTATGCAGCGCTTTACAGATTTATTACACATTGACATCAGTCCCTGCCCTCAAGGTGCTTACAATCTAAGGTCCATAACTCAAATTCATACATAAACATATTAGGGCCAGTTTAGACAGGCTCCAATTAACCTACCAGCATGTCTTTGGAGTGTAGGAGGAAACCCATGCAGGCACAGGGAGAAAATGCAAACTCCAGACAGGTGGTTCCGTGGTTGGGATTGGAACCGACGACCCTAGTGCTCCTAGGTGGGAATGCCTTTAGATCTAGTAAAAAGAAAGCAACCAGTAACTGCTAAGAATTCAAATAAGGGATCCAATATCATCGGGCTGCAAGAAACCCTGAAAATAAGCCAGTGTTATAGTTTGAAATCAGGTGGCATATTTATGTTATATTATTATTATTATTATTATTATACAGTATTTATAAAGCGCCAACAGTTACAATGGGAGACAATACATGAGACAGTACAATAACAATACAATGCGATACACGAGGGGTTTCGAGGGCCCTGCTCCTTGGAGCTTACAATCTAGGAGGGAGGGGATAGTGGTACGGGAGGAAAAGCTGTGGGGGATGGAGTGGTAGGAAGAGTGGAGGAGGTCGGCAATTATCAGGGGGTGGGGTAGGCTTCCCTGAAGAGGTGGGTTTTCAGGGTACAACTAAACGAGAGGAGAGTAGGTGATAGTCTGATGGATTGGGGTAGGGAGTTCCAGAGGATGGGTGACGCCTTGCAGAAGTCCTGGAGGCGGGCATGGGAGGAGGAGACCAGGGAACTAGAGAGAAGGAGGTCTTGTGAGGAGCGGAGAGTGCGTTTTGGGTGGTATTTGGATATTAGGTCGGTGATGTAATTTGGGGCAGTATGATGGACAGCTTTGTACGTCAGTGTTGGATTTTGAATTTGATCCGTTGGGAAATCGGAAGCCAGTGGAGGGATTGGCAGAGGGGGATGATGATATTTTTATAGTTACTAGGCAGTGAGGTCAAATAGGGGGACTCATTTTTTCATACCTAGTTGCAGACTGACAACGAGGGGCTTGTAAGTAGCTTTCCAACCAGCCATGCCAGTTCAGGCCTTGCTCCCTTACTGAAGTGTGCCAAACAGTGGCCATGAATTACCTAATCAGCCCTGATCAATATGGGTCTGGGAACAAAAAAGGTAACAAAAAAGAGAAATGAATGAAGGTGAAGAAAAGATTAAGCAAAGTAGTAAATAAATAAACAGAGAAAAAAAAATGATATGCTGTACAAGAACCAGGAAAGGGAAAGAGAGCAGAAACACAGGGTAAAAATACCTTGACTAGAAAAAAAGTTTCAACATGCTATTTTTTTTTAATAAACAATATGCTGCAAGTACTTAGAAACTATTGCTATGTATAGTGTTATGAAACTTGAGGTTTACTTAATTGGAGAAGTTAAAAAGCTGTAAAATTATATTATAGTCTTTTTTAGAATTGCTTTCATGTTGCATGTTTGAAGTAAAGAAATGTCTCTTCATTCAATGTACTTATATATCCCTAGGAGCAAAGACTGAATGGCATCATTGTTCTAAATCGTAATGTAATTCCTTAT